CGGTTCAGATGATGAGGTGGCTGTGCACACTTAACTATTGTGTGCATTTTTAGAAGATGAGAATACCTCCTTTCAAAGTAGTCGTGAGGCATATATTCCTGGTGACTGCATTAATTCATATAATTGTCTGGGGGAACAATTTAACTATATAACTGTATAAATTATTCTTGCCTTTATCTCCTTCATCTCTCTCCTGAGAAATTATCCTATAAAAGAAATTCAAAAGAAGAGAAAAAGCTGTTATAAAGGTGTTCACTATAACCTATTAATATTTGTGAAAAGTTGGAGGCCACAGAAACTCCAACAAAAGGCCAATGATTTCTTAAGTTATTAAGTAAGTTAGTAAGGTCAAGCAGTTGTCAGAACTGGAATTATGAGGGGCAGTATGGAGATGTGTTGCGGCCCGCGGGCCTGGTGGCCGCGGCCAGGAGGAGGAGCCCTGCTGTGACATCCCCGCTTCTCTGTCCCGCAGTCGAGACTGTCGGTCAACAGCGTGACCGCCGGAGACTACTCCCGGCCCCTGCACATCTCCACCTTCATCAACGAGCTGGATTCCGGCTTCCGCCTCCTCAACCTCAAAAACGACTCCCTGCGGAAGCGCTACGACGGCCTGAAGTACGACGTGAAGAAAGTGGAGGAGGTGGTCTACGACCTCTCCATCCGCGGCTTCAACAAGGAGACGGCAGCGGCCTGTGTGGAGAAGTAGGGGCTCTCCGCGCGCCCCGCTGACCCCAGCCCGGCGCCTCTCACGGTCGTTAGGATGCCCATTGCTAAACACCGCGCTTCATTTTCTTAACCGGTTGTGTGGTGTATCAGAGTTGAAACACTTTTTTTGGGGGTGAAAGAATAGCCTTTACAAGGACAGAGTTTTCTTTGTCGTTTCAGTGAATTTGCTCTGTAACTCAGTGTATTTCAGTTCTGTCAAAAAGTGTAAATGCCAACCTCTTGGTAAAGTTCTTTTCTTGCTTACCCTGATGCTGTCGATGTACTGATGGAGAGCTTTACTGTCTTGTTTGTGATTCTTCCAGGAGTGACCCTTGATGTTTTCTATATCCAAATTAGCCATCCATACCCAGGTATGCCCTGGATACCGTATAAAAAGAGTTAACTCAAAAGGATGGTTGCCAAGCGAAGGACAAGTTATTTTATATTTTCCTTCCTCATTTTAAACCTTCTGAGTAAATCAGATGTTGAATTTTTTTGCAAGGGAAGTATAGCCCCAGGGTTCTCTCTCACTGCCATCAAAATATCAAAGATTAAACTGCAAAGTCAAGTTCAGCAGATTATTTGGGGACATTTTTGTATTAAGGATTGAGTAACATCATCTGGCTCTGCTTACCAGGTGGGGAGTAGGGGTAGTGTTTTAAAACACCTCTGTGTTCTGATGTTGCCTTAACATTCTGCTGTTGCAGCAGGTAAACATTGCGTCCACACACATCTTGAACTAACATTTCATATGATGTATTTCTGAGCTATGAAACTTTTTACCTAATAGCCAGGTAGACTGCTAGGTCTGGGAGTGTAAAGCCACTCAGCGGAGTTCATTCTCAACACCCTGACTGGTGATGTTCTGACTGAAGAGTGCTGTGCTTTGTCTGGAAGTAAGAGAAAACCTTGAATTAAAAAAACAAACAAACAAAAAAATTAGCTGATTTGGTCATGTTTTTTCGAGTAAGCAATTCTCTCAGGTTGTTGATTATTCCAACAGTCAGGTTTTACAGTTTTGGGCAAGTCACATGTATCTCATTGGCACTGCACCCCTCCCAATTTTCAGGTAGTACTTGCCATGTAATTTTGCTGTTGAAGAGATATTATTAAAATGGTGACTTAATCCACAGCATCTTGGAGCTCACTGAAGGGAAGGTGCCAGTGTGTCCAGAATAATAGGAAGTATTTAGAAGTGTCACCCTCTCATATTTAGAAGTGTCACCCTCTCATGCCTAATACGGTTTTGGGCTTCCTGTTTGTACAGTAGGATATTTGGCATGGCCATCAGAGCTGTTATCAGGCTGAGTTAAGGACTGATCAAATTTTCCATCATGAGGAAAGAAATAGAAATGAGACATAAATTGCTATGCATAGTTGCATTTTAGAACAATTTTCTTGACGGCTCTTTCTGCAGAAGAATTTGGAAAGAAAAATGTTATAGAGTCTTAAAGTGCCTAGGATGGTCACCTCAAATGTGCAGTAATAGCACTGCCTGGACTGAGCATAAAAGGCTTTGAATTCCATGATCAGACATATGCAGTAAGTTTGATCATAGCTTTCTTTGCCTCTTTAAGTATCAGTTCTGCTTGAGAACAGTGAAGTTCTTGGCAGAAGTTGTGGATATCACTTTTCACAAATAACGTTTTAAGTGGAGGAGCACGTTCTGGTTTTATACTCCGTTCGGGGATGTACAAGTGTCACGTGTATGATTATTCTGTTGTGTGTGTTGCCGGCTTGTTGTAAAGCAATAAAAACAGTTTCTTTCTTTTCTTTTCTTTTTGGTCTTTTTGTCACTTAGTGTGCTGCCATGAGAACTCTTCTACATGGGCAGTAAGTTCTGAATGGTTTTTGAGGCTGAAGAATGGGGTGATGAGCCCACACTGCTGTGTGGTAGAGTAGTCACTGAGCTGTGTACTGTAAAGTGTAGGTAATGTTGGTGTGCTCTCCCCTGGTTGGGAAGTTACTGGTATTTTAACTGAAGATGTTGAGAAGCCTTGGCTCTGGTTCCGGGACACCAAGATTGCTTTTTCCAACTTTAGAAAATCAAGCAGGTTAGAGAAAACAGAGGTGAGTTAGTGGATGCTTTCTTTATAGATATATTTATGCGGAGAAGAAGAGAGCCCCGTAAATACTAGAAAGGATTTGCCCTGTCTTAAACTTGAACAATGAGTGATGCTTAAGAGAATTTAATAAAGAACAAAAGCTCCTTTGACTGTGTTCTGAGACCTTGACTTGAGCAAGTGGCTAAAGGGATGATTTGGATATGCAGGCTGCTCCTGTCATCGTTTCATGATTGTGCACTCAGAAATTGTAGCTTTCTTCTTTCATGGTCTAGACCGAACTGTTTGTCCCAGGTAGAACATCACTGTCATGCCTCACACCAGAATAAGATTCTCCCTAAGCCTGAAACAGATTCTTTCCTTAGTCACTGTAATAAGCATTAAACAAACAAAAACAAACCATCCCCCTTTCCTCCATACAATAACACTTAAGGGAGGTGAAACTGACTGGGACGGTTGGTTGAATGAGGAAGGTGTGAAGGAGACAGAGGCATCCAGCCTGTCAGGTTTCTGGTCTGGAAGCCTCCAGGAGGCTCAGGTGCCGCTAGCCAACCTGAGGCTCGTCGAGGTGGCTGGGCAGACAGTGTGCTTGCTTTTGGACGTGTGGGACTGATGGTGCTTGCGGAGCAGCTGGCTGAGGTGCCCAGCAGGACTTCGGGTGTGAGGGAAATGGGGAGTCCTTGAGAGAGCTTCGGGTGGCGTGGCGTTAGTGTATGTGTGGTAGATGAATCGTTAGCGTATGTGTGGTAGATGAATCGGGAGAGCCCGGTGGGATCTCCCTGGAGGGCGTGTGGATTGAGAAGCCTCGGGGCTGAGGACAGAGCCCTGGTTACCAGCAGTGGGGAGGGAGGGAGTGGAGCCACGAGGAGTGGTCAGAGAGGCTGACAGAACAGGGAGAGTGGCTCGGCACAGAAGCCAGGGGAATAAAGGGTCTTCGGAAGGTTTGTTTATTTATTTATTTTTAGAATTTATTTATTTTTGGCTGCATCGAGTCTTAGTTGCATCACGCAGGCGCTTTGTTGAGGCGTGTGGGATCTTTTGTTGTGGAGCGTGAGCTTCTCTCTAGTTGTGGCGTGAGGGTTTTTCTCTGTAGTTGTGGTGCGCAGGGTCCAGGGTGCGTAGGCTCTGTAGTTTGCGGCACGCAGGCTCTCTAGTTGAGGCGGGCGAGCTCAACAGTTGTGGCGCACAGGCTAGTTGCCCTGCGGCATGTGGGATGTTAGTTCCCTGACCAGGGCTCGAACCCATGTCCCCTGCATTGGAAGGCGGATTCTTTACCACTGGACCACCAGGGAAGTCCCAGGAAGGTTTTTTTAGGTGAGAGATTTAAAATGTACAATTTCAGGGCTTCCCTGGTGGCACAGAGGTTAAGAATCCACCTGCCAATTCAGGACACATGGGTTCGAGCCCTGGTCCGGGAAGATCCCACATGCCGCAGAGCAACTAAGCCCATGCGCCACAACTACTGATCCTGCGCTCTACAGCCTGTGCTCCACAAGGTTGGTTGAATGAGGAAGGTGTGAAGGAGACAGAGGCATCCAGCCTGTCAGGTTTCTGGTCTGGAAGCCTCCAGGAGGCTCAGGTGCCGCTAGCCAACCTGAGGCTCGTCGAGGTGGCTGGGCAGACAGTGTGCTTGCTTTTGGACGTGTGGGACTGATGGTGCTTGCGGAGCAGCTGGCTGAGGTGCCCAGCAGGACTTCGGGTGTGAGGGAAATGGGGAGTCCTTGAGAGAGCTTCGGGTGGCGTGGCGTTAGTGTATGTGTGGTAGATGAATCGTTAGCGTATGTGTGGTAGATGAATCGGGAGAGCCCGGTGGGATCTCCCTGGAGGGCGTGTGGATTGAGAAGCCTCGGGGCTGAGGACAGAGCCCTGGTTACCAGCAGTGGGGAGGGAGGGAGTGGAGCCACGAGGAGTGGTCAGAGAGGCTGACAGAACAGGGAGAGTGGCTCGGCACAGAAGCCAGGGGAATAAAGGGTCTTCGGAAGGTTTGTTTATTTATTTATTTTTAGAATTTATTTATTTTTGGCTGCATCGAGTCTTAGTTGCATCACGCAGGCGCTTTGTTGAGGCGTGTGGGATCTTTTGTTGTGGAGCGTGAGCTTCTCTCTAGTTGTGGCGTGAGGGTTTTTCTCTGTAGTTGTGGTGCGCAGGGTCCAGGGTGCGTAGGCTCTGTAGTTTGCGGCACGCAGGCTCTCTAGTTGAGGCGGGCGAGCTCAACAGTTGTGGCGCACAGGCTAGTTGCCCTGCGGCATGTGGGATGTTAGTTCCCTGACCAGGGCTCGAACCCATGTCCCCTGCATTGGAAGGCGGATTCTTTACCACTGGACCACCAGGGAAGTCCCAGGAAGGTTTTTTTAGGTGAGAGATTTAAAATGTACAATTTCAGGGCTTCCCTGGTGGCACAGAGGTTAAGAATCCACCTGCCAATTCAGGACACATGGGTTCGAGCCCTGGTCCGGGAAGATCCCACATGCCGCAGAGCAACTAAGCCCATGCGCCACAACTACTGATCCTGCGCTCTACAGCCTGTGCTCCACAACAAGAGAAGCCACCGCAATGAGAAGCCTGCACACCGCACCAAAGAGTTGCCCCCGCTTGCCGCAACTAGAGAAAGCCCACGCGCAGCAATGAAGACCCAACGCAGCCAAAAATAAATAAATTAAAAAAGAAAACACTATAAAATGTACAGTTTCACAGCCTGAGAGCCTTGTGACTTTGTCAGGCGAGGCTGGGTGATGCAAAGCGACAGAGCAGGTTTATTCCTCGCTTATCCTTCCCAACAATTTCAGGTTAGCGGGGGACCCGCCCCACGTTGGCCTCACGTAGCTGACAGCGCAGCCGCAGCTGGGCTGCTTATTAGTTCCTCCGGGAGAGTCTTGTACAGACCCACGCTCTGGTTTGGAAGTGACACCTCACTTCCTCTCAACGTTTGTTGGTTAGAACTGGGTGTGTGGCCCTGCTCACACCGAGGGAGCCAGGAAGTGAAATCCCACTTTGTAGCGTGAGAGAGGATGGAGAGTCACACAAACTAAATGATGAAAATCATGGGCACTGTCGAGTTCCTCCTGTTAGATGATTAATAGTATTTCTGGTCACAGATGAATTTCAGTGGGCTTGGAAGGGAGAAGAGACATCTCAGGGCCCCTCGTCTGGTGGATAAGAAGAGGGGTGGGTCATCTGTAATTGTCCCCTCTGTTGTTGAAGGTTGTTTCCTGTTTAAAGAGATTCCTCTGGTGTGTGTGCATTTGTGGTCGGGTTTGTGTGTTTGAAGCCGACGTGCAATGAACTGTTAACGTGTTCCAAGCACCGCGCTAAACGTTTTCTCTAGATCATCTCATGTCATCCTCAGAACAATCTTACGAGGTAGCTAC